AAAATCCAAAGAAATACAATTTTCAAAACAAAATGGCTTCTTCGGGCAAAAGTCCTTATTTAGTGTGACCTTCCTTGGTTCTAAGCACATCCTGAACTCTTTTGGGGAGACTGTCCTGAAGTTTTCTGAGGAAATCTTCTGGTACATTATACCAGGCTTCTTCCCAGGGTTCTTCCTTAGATTTAAGCCAGTGGTGGGATTCAATTTTTTTTACTACCAGTTCTGTGGGCGTGGCTTGGTGGGCATGGCAGGGGAAGGATACTGGAAAATCTCTAGTCAGAGGTGGCATTTTCCGGTTCTCCAAACTACTCAAAATTTCCACCACCGATTCTCCAGAACTGGTCAGAACCTGGTGAATACCACCTCTGATTTAGGCTGTCTTTTCTTTCTTTCTCTGTCTAGGCCTCGAGAACATTCAGGTCTGGACCCTGTGATGGCCAATCCATGACGTTCAGTGTTTTTTCAGCTGATTTCCTCACTAAATATGTTCTATTGTGCTTGGGATCATTATCATTCTGAAAAATAAATCCATTCCCTATCAGGTGCTTTCTAGAAGGAATGGCATGATGAATTAAAATCTGCCTGTACTTTCAGCATTCATAATCTTATCAATTCAGACTATCACCAATACCATTGGCAGAAATGCAGCCCCAAACCAGGACACACATCATGTTTCTCTCATTCACCCATCCCTCTCCAACTATTCTTCTCACATATTGTCAATGAACGGACCCCCAAATTTCAAACTTGGATTCATCACTTCCTAATACTTTTTTCCACTAGTCCTCAGTCTGATCTTTGTGAGCATTAGCATATCTTACTCTTTTCACCCTGTTCCCCTTATGCAAAAGTGATTTCTTGTCTGCTACCCTTCCACAAAGATCATTACTCATCAAACTTTGTCAGACTGTAGAAAGGTCAATTTGGCAATCCAATGAGGCTGCTAGATGCTGAGCCAGGGGACTTCCGCTGGTCTCTAAAAGAAGAAACTCTGAGAAACTTCTCATCAGAATTTGAAGGTTTCCTTGGCCTTCCAATCCTTTTTTTTTTTGTCCTTGACCTCTCCTGATTCCTCAGATGTCTTTATAACAGCTTGAATATGCAGTTTGTTTATTGATTTCCCTTTGAGAGTGGCCTTGCTGATGCAAAACTATGATTTTATGTTTGTCACATTCTGTGATCTTTGGCATTTTAATTGGAATGATGTGAATGAAAGCTGGTCTTATAAGCAAGCTTCCAATGAATTGCACTGAAACAACTTGTGTATGTACTGCATTTAGTGCTCAAGCATGTCTTGCAAAAACTTGCTATAACAGAACTTTTGGTCATTTGAGCTAGACACAGTAGGACACGTACAACTGTTAGCAGTGACAGTGTCTAGGGTTCCCTTAGATTTAGGGTTACAGAAGCCAAGCGCCTACTGTTGTTCAAGTGTAAGGGGAGATTGTTCCATATTAGCGGGCTTGAAACCCCGCATTCCTATTGGTCCATTGAAATCACTACATGATTGGACAACCAGGGCGGTCGTGATTGGCTCACTAGGAGTCTGCCGCGATTGGTTGAAACCAATCGTGGGAAACTTGAAGTGGTGTCATTGGCCGCCAAGCCGCGGCGAGCTCTATAAAAGAGCCGGCGCAAGTGCTGTTTCCCTCACTCAGATCTAGCCTGTAATAAAAAGCTTACACTTAACCTGAGTCTCTCATCTTACTGAGCCCGACTTTCCGAACTTAACAGAGATCACATTGCTTATTTGTCACTTTGGCCTCTGGAAGCTGTTTATTCTGCTTTTTCCTAATTTTTTGAATAGTGCACTTAAATATTTTGCATTTTTCTGGTTGTATTCAAATAAGAAGATTGAGACGCAATTACATATGGTCATTATACCATTGCTACAACAAGAAATATAGTGGTGGCTTAAGACTTTTGCACCGTACTGTACTTAGGGGATTCAGTACTATTACTTTAAACTGATGTGTTGCACATAAGCCATGCACTGGTCAAATCAATCTAATAGGCAATGTAAATTACCTTAGTAATTCCCTGTTTCAGACATATCCATCTATAGTAACAAATATCTTATAAACTTGCAATAATCTTAGTGGAACAAGGGATGAATGTATTGTTTAAAGATTTAATCAAATGGTTTGTCCTCTGTGTATAATGGGAAGCATACATTTCCTCAAAAACTAAAGAAAAATTAGTTTAAAACTTGAACTGAACAGTTGGAGTTCAGCTAAGCAGCTTTGAAAAGCCTCCCATTGAGGGATACATAACAGGTGAATACTTTATCCAAACCATCAATATAAAATGTATAAAAACTAAAGTACAAACTTAGTTGCATTGTTTTCATTTCAAAATATAAACAATTCATAAAAGAGGGAAGGACAATTATTTCAAATCTTATACTGTAAATATTCTGTTCCTTCCCTTCTTTCTAAGCCATTTTGATTGGAGCAAGGAGAGAAGGCATAGATTCTGTCTTCTGTCTCCCTCCTTCCTGACTTCCATTGTTTCTATTGTTTTCCATAGGAAGGGTGAGTCCATCCCTTTTACAGATTCTGGTTTGTCAGATCAGCATGGAAGCTAAGGGAAACTGTATTGTAATGATTAGGTTCTCTGTTATTATGGACAAACAGAGAAATTGAGGGGACATGTGACATACTTACTGGGGAGGGGGTGGGTAAGCTGTCAAGTGGCAATTGAACACAAACACCTCTAATTTTACATGTTCAATCTAATACATGAACAAAACTGAGCTGCACTTTAAAATTTAACTTTCTGTATACTTTGCAATGGTATTGCAATTAAAAAAAAAGTATACTAAGGAAAATTCAGACCAAAATGTCTTTATTTATCATAATAAACTATGTAATACTGTGCAATAGGAAACCATTTGCAAAAACGTATTCTTCGACCCAAAATCTGGTTTACTTAAAGCAGTCAAATCACTTTGATAAATTACTATATTATTTTATTTGCTTGCAGTCGATAATGCAGGAAAGTTTTGAAACTTTCCAGAGTGACCATGATCAAAACCAGAATGGGTGCTCATATGCCTCTGGCCCCACACATTGCAAAGGCAAAATAAAGAAATCACAGCCTGACATTGAAATGTTTTAGATAAATCCATTTGTGCGACTTTATCATTACTTATCCCTTCCTACTAGGTCAGCATGCTTGCTAAACTATCTTTGAAATAAGCTCAGTGAATAAAAACAATATGATTTACTGGACCACAGGTTCTTTTCCCTATCGTTACTCAGGGTCACTTCAGCGTGCTGTGAATTTTTTCTTATGAGAAAACCATTTCATTGGAGGCATTTCAAAGTAGTAAATGCAGTTTACAGTACATGTGAATGTGAGAGGGAACCTTCTCTCACACTTTTTCTTAACAGGACATTTATAAAGGAAATGTGTATGTGTCTGGAACTTTCCAAGCAAAGAAAAAAAAAGAAATAAAGAATTTCCCAGCAGCAAGATGTTTTAACAGAAACAACTTTGGGAAATATATTTTGATTTTTTTTACCACATGAAGAATGCAGTAGGGACAACTACTTAGGCCCTCTGCCACTTCATTTTCCTCACAGGGGCTGAATAGCTTTGGTGCCCTCTAGTGCCTGACCAAAGGTTTTCTGTAGGGTTTCTGCACATTTTAGGAGTCCTGACATACATTTTCTCCCGGCAAGGGAAGTCCCTGCCATTTTTACTGCTTGAAGCAATGCCATCTGTTTTTCAGAGTCAAAAAGGTAAAGTGTTGAAAAACTATTACCCAGCCATAAAATACATGTCCATAATATATGCTGCCCAGAATTGCTTCTGGTGAAATGGGCAGCTACACAATTGGATGACTAAATAGAATCTGCTTTAAGCCAGGTTGCTATTTTCTTTCCCGTATCCCTGTGTGGCCATGTCTATAGCTCATGGGTATATAATGTCTTGTTACATTTCATAACTGACTCCAGGTTTGGGAGAAACCACAGGGTGGCAGTGAGTTTGGCAAAATTATTTGGCTGTGCTCAAATGGCTGGATTTAATGTATGTAAATTTTCCATAGTAGTCCAGAATGAATCTTTTTCCAGAGGATATGCTTGAAACATATGCTTCATATGCTATTGAACTTTCATCTCCATTGTGTAATAAGTCCCAGATTTGCAAAGTGTGGTCAAATTCACCCTCACTAATGAAAGATCTCTAGATGACCTCTGGCTAGAAACATTCTCTTATCCTAGGCTACCATGCAGGGTTGAGGTTATGTGGAAAAATTAAAATCAGGGTTTCTATATATATCATTTTAAACACTGGACAAGGAAAATAAATCTAATAATCACCATATAAAGAGATAAATAGATGGTTTAACAGATAACTTTCTAATAATATTAAAGCCACGTCCTAGCCTTTTAAGTAGCTTTTTCATTGCTGTTAACTTTCCAAGAATCATATGGGGTCAACAGCACCAACCTCCATGTTCCAGATTGAAGAACTGAGATGATAGCAAACAAACACCCTGTCAAAGACTATGATCTAACTCTGTCTGGTGCTAGTTATATTATTTGTACTGCTGTAAGAATGAGTTTATCATGGTATGAAATATATAAAGATGTGAAATAAAAGGGGTTATGTGTGTTTGGCAAGAGGCTTGTTTTCCTCTTGCGTTATACTGGCTTGTGAACAAAAGGAATTATCATCTGATTACGGTATTTGAAAAGAAACAACTGATTTTTTTAGGAGTCAGCCTAGAACTCATTTATCAGTTACATTGACTCACAAAGTACCACGTTGGTTTTATTGCCCTTCCTGCACACACAGATTCTGTGATAGAAGAAAAAAAAAACATATACATTCGCTATGGGCTGATTACCTTTCCTTTTCCGTCTTTCAGATGTCCAAGGTCCTCAGTTCTACCTTTCTTTCCTTAGGAAACAGAGTGAGATCCTCAGGTGTGCTTGAGTCTCACTTAAGTAACATTGATTTGGATTCAGGCTTCTGAGAAACAATCTAAAATGATGATGGGGGCTCTCTTTTTCTTCTTCCTTATCCCTTGTGTTGAAGCAGGTGAGTAGGGCCAAAGATATAAACAACTCTTCAAACAGAATGCAGGAATCAGAATTACTTCTGCTTGTCTCTTAATCAGAAAAGTTGAATTAAATATAACTCAGTGTTTGCGCTCATTTTGGTGCAACTGTAAATGTTTGAGGTAATTCCCAAGAATAATGTCTTAGGCAAATTCTCTTCTGTGCATTTTCCAAAGTGGAGGGAATGACTATAGGTATAGAAATATTTTTAGCTATATTCTGTAGTTGCATTTTATGTCTTGATAATTCAGTAATTAATTGCTTAATATAACCAAAACTTTCTACCTAGCCATAAAGATATCTTGAAATACAAGAAAAACTAGAAGAGTTTCTGGCTAGAAAACATGTTAGAGAATAGGGGGATTTATTTATGGTTATGAACATAAATGAACAATGAGATTGACATGAAATTTCAATTATAATTGATCTAAGCTACCAATATAATTATAAGATCAATAAACTCTGTCAAAAGTAGTTTGAAAATCTCATATTCTAAAGGTTGCAACGTGAGAATAGGCATCTTAGTTTATATGATTGGTTCATCTATAAATCATACATTTTTTTGTAAAAATAAGTAACATCTATTCCAAAGTTTAAAATATTTTTAACCAAAGTTCAATATGATGTTAGTGATAAAAAATGCCAACTTGTTTTATTAGTTGTTTATTACAGTGGTGGGATTCAATTTTTTTTACTACCGGTTCTGTGGATGTGGCTTGGTGGGCGTGGCAGGGGAAGGATATTGTAAAATCTCCAGTTAGAGGTGATATTTGCCGGTTCTCCGAACTATTCAAAATTTCTCCAGAACTGGTCAGAACCTGCTGAATACCACCTCTGGTTTATTAACATTTATTTACTGTAAATATTTGGCAGTTGAATCTTACTTCGTCACAACAACAATTTTAGCTTTTTTTCCTAAGAAACAGAAATGTCTTAGTGGTAATGGCTGGGAATTGTTTAAACTTGGAAACTTAGCTCTTCCCTCAGGGCCTGACTTAGGGAATGTGGAAGACTCTTTTTAAGAATATGTGGGTTAGGATTTTACTATTCCTCTGTGATGTCTACTATCTTTGGGTGGTTATAGAACATTTATGTGCTTTACAACTATACACTGCCCAGATTTTTTTTGACAATGGGAAGCCACAGACATTTCATAAACAAAAATGACAATTTCCAAATTACATTGATATGTGGGGGTCTCTTTCTTTTAGAGCTATGCTACAATGGTGGAACATTTGATGGGGTCAAATGCATCTGTGATGAAGATTTATTCTATGGGCCCCGATGTGAGTTCCTTGTTCATGAAAGTACAACAAGTACAAGTATAACAACAAGTGCTCTCTCAGAAGAAATACGCACCTCTCCAACACACCCCACTGGTACCAGAGCCACCCCACACCCCACCATCCCTCACAGCACTACAAGGACAACATTCACAACTTCTCATGTTGACATCCTTTCCCCGATAACTCTCCCTGGAGGAACACAGGAGTTTACAACAACACTCAGGATGGTGGTAAGCGATGGGACCGTAGCCTCAGATTTTACAACTTCTTGGAGTGGAACAAAGAGCCCTTCCTCACAGGGCAACACCATCATGAGTGATCCCTCTAAAAACACACCGTCCACGGGTACCTTAGCCCCAAGTAGTTGCAAAAGCAGATTTACTGTCTCCAGCACATCAATTCCAGGAATTTCTTCCAGTCCTAAGATTAGCAAAAATACCACAACTACCACAAGCCGTGAGTATCAATTTTCATTTGATCCATATGCTTGTCTCATTCCTATTTTAAACTTTTCAAAATTCATGACAATTTTTTCTTCTGTTCCTGTAATCAGATTATCGGAACCGTAGCTTGGATCTTCTATTTTGTTTTTTAGAAATATGTACAATTTAGGACAGATTGAGTATGAATGGGATTAGCCACTATTCATCACATTTCTGTCCAAAATGCTGCCTTATAAGTGTGCCTATGACTGTAGCATAGTCATATGAGGTGATTTTCCCTCCATATTGTGGGGATGATGTTTGTGGCTTCCCCTATATAGTGAATGCTCTCTCGCCTCTTACTACTGGGGATCCTGGCTGGGGCAGCTGAGAGTGATATTTCAGCAGTAGCTGAAAGGCCACAGAAAGCTCCTCTCTGTTCTGGGAGATTGGGAGGATGGACACACTTCCTTTGGGACATGGTTGCCTTGTGCTAGGACTTTGGAATAACATGAGAACATTGAACATTCATGGTCTTTAGCTTGTACAGATTACTCTATGCTCACAGATGAATTGTTTTCATGTTTTGCCAAATTTTGGCTAAAACCTGGAAGGATGCATGGTATGCAGAACTTCCACTCAAATCTTCTGGAGACATCTCTCCATGATCAATGTCATTATCAGTGTTTATAAAATTGCCATTTTATAAGAATAGATTATAATTTCCAAATCCATATAAGGGAACTTTTCAGTTCCAGAGCTATGCCACAGTGGCAGAATATTTGATGGGATCAAGTGCATCTGTAATGATGATTTATTCTATGGACCCAAGTGGTTTTTTAAAAAATACATGCATGCTGTGATAAAGAATTATATTTCTATGTAAATTGCTGCATTGTAACTTTCAAATTAGATCTGTATAAGGGGGCTTCTCTGTTCCAGAGATATGCCTCAATGGTGGAGTCTATGATGGAATCAAATGCATTTGTAATGAAGATTTATTCTATGGACCCAAGTGTGAGTTCCTTGTGGATGTAATTCCAGTCACTGACTGTAAGTACAATCAGGGAGAATGTGATTACTTTTTCCTGATGGCAGCCTGACAACTTTCTCTAATTGTTTGCTTCCAGATATGTTGGATTACCATACTAGAATAAAGAGATTGCATATGGAAGAACTAACTTTGGAAAATGTGGCTTAACAGAAGCTCCATTATAGTGTAGTGCATGTAAACCAGGAACATATAGGGAAATAGCTCTCTATTCCCACTTCCACCTGTCTGGAAAGGATAGTTTACAGTGATTTGAGAGCCCCAAGCTAAAATGATTAATTTGGAGCTAATGTTTTCCCCACACATGGCTACAGAGACCTCATGAATAGTTGAGAAGATATTCCTGTTCCGTGCTAAATAAAGATTTTTTTTTTTAAAGAAGAATCATGGAGATGGGATTTGGAGATTGCATAAAAATACCTGATTGGTCATTTACTGCTTCTTTTTCATCAATAAACAAAAAATGACTTTTCAAACCAGATGAGGACCTTTGGATTTAGGTATTTGAAAGTGTGTTGGAGAATGGGAACACATTCGCCTCTTGCCTGTCACAGTTTAGAATTCCTTTGCAGGGAAGAAACTTGTTGAAGTTCACATGAATATCTCTTTCTCTTTTAGTATTTGTGACAATTACTGTCAAAGCTCAGGTGAAAGTTGCTAACAGAGAGTACAAGAAATCTCTGGAAGATTTAAGCTCTAAATATTCTCAGGAAATTCAGGCTCAGTTTCAAAAGCAGGTAAGATTGGATCAAGGAAATAGCCTACATCTGATCAATGTCACCATTTCAAAATTTCAATGTACCGTATCTTACACTCTTCTTTAACCAAGGCCAGCACTCCTAATTCATACCAAGAATGTGTCTTCTTCCCAATCAGAAATTCACTTCTTGGATTATAAGCTTTCTGCAGCTAGGGAATTAGACAAGACACAGCACACCCTCAATGCTTTAGGAGGCTGGCTTCTAATTAAAGTCTCTTTCCTGACATAGGTTTCTTTGTTTACGAAGGCTTTCTTTTACTTTTTCTACCTTGTAGATGGAAGATGTTTATGGTGCTGTACCTGGATACTGTGAAGTGGAGATCTTACGAATGAGGTTGGTATCCAAAAAGAGACTAATTTAAGGCTCTGGGATGATGAGCCATCAAATGAATTTATCTCATTCATTCAGGCCAGCCTCAGTTGAATATGAGTAGAACTTTTGTTCCATTGTGGATCCTCTGGTTTAAGTAACTTCTCTTCAGATTTCTTTCTTTTTTTTTAACAATATGGATAGTTCAAGGCCTGAGCAGGGAAGGAACTAAGAGTGGCTAGAGAATTGGAAGATCGGGCATTTTGCATGTCTTATGTATACTTTCAGTCACCATGTGTTTCAGGAAACATCTGAGGAAGAAATGGCTCTTCAAGAGAAGCACCAACAATGATGAAGTTAAAGCAATTAGACTTGGACTAAAGTTGAGGTTAAAATCCCACTCAATCAGGAAGCTTCCAGACAAAGCCTGGGCCAGTCTGAAACTCTTATTCTAAACCCTTTCTCAAGATAGTTGTGTGGATTATATGGAAAGGACTAGAAGTTCTAGTTCATTTTGAATTTGATGGAGGAAAAGGGTGGATCCATTACAGTCTTTATCATACTTCCATGGAGGAAAAAAAGGCAGTTCAGTAACTGAGGAATTGTTTTTCCTTCATTTTTCTCTTAGGAATGGCAGTATTATTGTGGAACATAAAGTCATCTCCCAAGTAATAATATACAATAATGAGGAAATGATCCAGCATACAATGGAAGTTATTACAGAGGCAGTGAAACGCTCCTTGAAAGACATACATACTGAAGGAGAGTGTATTGAGCCTTCAGGTATGGAATGGCTGGGTAAACTCTTCCACTTGGATATGGTTTTCCCTGGGTGCGAAATAAGCAAGATTCCTGGCTCTTTTTTCTTTTAGACAAGGATGTTTTTAGGATGAGCCACCTTTTTTTTCTGCAGGATAACTTACAAATTTCAATATAGCCACTAGATGGCAGCAAACCCATTCTTTTTTCTATTTGGTACCAGTCAGAGAATGAATTCCCCCCCCCCCCCAAAAAAAAACAAAAAAAAACAAACTCGTTCTGGGGATGAGGGTCAGGAAATGGATTATTTTGCTTGGTTTCTTGGGGCAAAAGGACAGAGGATACAGGGCTCAAATGCAGCTTTGGTTCATTGTTTAGGTTTTTCTGCTTATAATTCCCTTTCCTTCTGGGGGGAAGGGGCTGTGAATATGGGAGGTTTGGCCTGAAAGAATAGACAGAGGAGATCCTGGGGGCTCAGATCAGTGATGTGTTTCAGCCGGTTTACACCAGTTCAGCCAAACTGGTTGTTATTTTTTTGCACAGTTCAGCAAACCAGCTGATACTACCACTGGCTGCCCCTCCCCCCCAGTCACTCCTTGCATGGGCTTAGAAGGTAAGGGCGAAGGCAGGGGAGGGAGGCTGGCTCTGGGTGGGGTTGGAAATCTCTGCTGTAGAGGGTGGTACAAGAGTAGTGGTGCAAGGAGTAGCGTAGCCCTCGCCAGCCAGAGTGAGGTAATGGCATTGTTGCAGTAAGGTGGGGTGACACAGGTGGTCAAAGCAGTGGTGGCGATGGCTGGAGCCTTAGTGTGGAAGCAAAGCGCCCCTGTACTTGCCTTTGTGCAGCAACAGCATTCTGTCTTCATCGTGGTACATTTGCACTCAAGGCAGCCCTCCCCTCCTCCTGCCACTTCGGGCTCAGAACTGTGAGCCATGTCTGGGAAGCACTGCAGCAGAGAAAAGCATCCAAGGTCTGATTCTCTGGAGCCTCATTTCTTGCTGAGACTCTCTGACCAACAGTCAGGTTTTAAAAAAGATTTTTGCAGCAGGAAATGACGGTGACTACTTCTGGCCTTTGTTGGTGCAGCTGGACATGCATGCCTCAGTCGCTCAGGGAGACATACGACCTGCTCTCCACCCCAAGACACCGGCCTGCGGTGTTCGCTGCTGCCACTTCATAGCCTCCCTGCTGACCTGACCCATACTGCTGCCACTGGCACTGCTGTTGCCACCTCATGGTCAAAGCGGCCTGCCCTTGCACAGCACAGTGAAGTTTAGCAGGCTTCACAATAGAGGTGACAGGGTCCCCTCCTCCTCCTGGAGCCCATTACAACATGGAGCCCCAATGCAACCCTGCCCCACTCATCCCTGGCAACAGCAGCAGTGAAGGTCAGATCAGCGGGCAGGCCATGAGGTGATGGCAGTGAATGTGGCAGGCCAGCGTCTCAGGGCAGAGAGCAGGCTGCATGTCTCCCTGAGCAACCGAGGCATGCATGCCCAGCTGCACCAAACAAAGGTCAGAAGTAGCTGCCTGCCATTTCTTGCTACAAAAGTATTTTTAAAAAACCTGACTCTCAGGCAGAGAGACCCAGCAAGACATAAGGCTCCAGAGAATCAGACCCAGAATCTCTCCACTGCAGTGCTTCCCGGACACAGCTTATAGCTCCAAGCCCGAAGCGGTGGGAGGTGAGGGCTGCCTTGAGCGCAAATGTACCACAACGACAATAGAATGCTATTGCTGTGCTCTAGCCTTTGCTACCACTGCTTTGGTCCGCCTGCACCACCCTAACTTGCCGTGAATGACGTCCGAGTTGGCCATGCCCACTCAGTCACATGACACCGCCCCATCCACGCCTACCCAGCTGGTCATTAGGGAGTATCAGTTGTTAAATTACTTGAATCGCATCACTGGCTCAGATCCCCACTGCTGGCCAGGGAAGAGATTTGTAGAACTTGGTTCATAAAAAATGAAAACTGTGGTGCAGAATAAAACAAGATAATGACTGTGTTTGCACTATCCTGGTTTGAAGAAGTAAAGTTAATGGTTTCCCTGCCATTTGGTGCAGTAGGTGAGTTGTTTAAAAAGATCAATTTAATTTTTTTGGTGGAGAAGAATTTTGGAAGAAATAAACCAAGGTATAGAACTACCCCAGATAACTAATGAATACAATTATACTTTTTTTTCAGGACCAGAACTGTGCTTTGTTCCTTTACCTAACTCGATTCTTATTTCAAGTTTTTCATTTAATGGTAAGTTTCAGTAACCAGTTGGGTATAAAGATTATCAGGACTATGCTTTACATTTTAAAATACTTAATTGTTCAATCCACATTTTAAGTGTGTAACTGCTAACACTTGCCATGATATCTGAACTGTTTGTTTTCATACATAAATGAAAGTTCCTGAAATATTTGATGATATTGTGAGAAGCTCACACCCTCACCCCAGAATAATGAAATATTTGGGAAATATTTAAAAAAGGCAGTATAGAATATTTCCCCTAAAGAAGAAATGGGAAAAAAATCTTAAGGGAGGCAAAAACCAGCTCCAGTTTCTCTGCCCCAAGCAGAAACTGAGGAGGCCAGCTTTTAGAAATGCAGATTTGGTAATCCATTCAGAAAGACTGGGTCAGAAACTTAGATAAGCAACAAACAAAATATTGACAAAATTAGCTCAGACAAACAACTAGGATTTGCATTTCCCCTTTTGCTTATAGAGCCAGCCATGACCTCTACATAACCCCCATAGGAATCCAGAATGTATAAAACCAACCCACTCTAAACTCTATTTTGTCAGCTGTCCTAGAATCACTTGTGGTTTGTGGTTCTGCTTCATCAAAAAAGGGAACCTTTCTTTCCAATCAGCTTCCAGCCTCCATTTTATTTCCAGGGCCTTTCTCCTGAATTGGACCTGTACTGGATATTTCTTCCAACAATATATAGATCCAATCCATCCATCAATCCAGTCAATCCATTTCATCTAACTACTTTATGTAAGCTAGGACTGTCAATCCCATGACTCAGGAATTGGGAACCTCTAGCAAGTGAAGAGGATCTCCCAGATCAAATCCATGGAGAATTAAGGAAGGAAGGAAAGAAGGGAGGAAGGAAGGAAGTCTTCTCCAGCTCCCATATGCCCACTTGTAGCATTAGCAGTGAGGCAAAGACAGGAGGTGAAGATGGAAAAGAAGCTATGCAAGTCATGCCAACAGATGTTGTCATTTATGCTCTTCTCTAGCTAGAAACTAGATAACTATGCTAAAGTGCCAATTTTTGAGCCAGCGGAAAAACAGATAAGCATAAATTGGCAGTCCTGACACTGACAAAGAAGTGAGGCCTGACTATTATACTGTCATTTTGTATATGTAAGATAAATGTAAGGCAGCTTGAGGAAAGAGGTCGATTCCTTGGCTTCATTTCACTTCCTGTTAAGTTTTAACTAGGATGCCACAGCCACACTTCTAAAAATCCACTTATCAACTTTGAAAACTGACAGTGAGCATCCTGAAGATACATTACTTTCAGGAAACCAGTGATTTGACTCTCTTGCAAAATAATATGGAGATGTTTCTGAGCCTCATATCCTGGGATGGGTGGGGCATCCCAGCAGCCACTTGTTGATAGAGTATGTGAGAAGCCAAAGAAAAGAGGAAAAACACTATTTTAAAACTGGAACAGCCAATGACAAGTATAAGTTTTCTTCATCCCCAGCTCACAATAGGCTGGGGATGAAGAAAAAGCAATAACTATTAAATATTTCTTAAGAATTGGAGGAGGGGGGAGGAAATCCAGTAATGTTGAGGATGTTCTTGAATAACAATGGAAAAACAGGGTGGAAAATTGAGGAACAAGAATGAAGAAAATATAAAGGGGACTTTGTTCTTTTACTAAAACTCAATTTGGGCCTAAGTAAATATTGTTTTATTTATTTTTATTTATTTGATTTGTCAATTGCTTACAAGATAATAGGTAAAGTATAAACATAGTTATGAATACATGAAATGGATACATATAAGAAAAATAAAAAGAAATAATAGGACAGGGACGGTAGGCACAATTGGTGCGCTAATGCACTCCCCCTACAGACCTCTTAGGAAAGGCTGTCAATAGTAGACAGTCTAAGGTTAAAGTTTTGGGGGTTTGGGGAAGAAACCACAGAGTCAGGTAGACTCTAAACATTGACCACTCTGTTGCTGAAGTTGTATTTCTTGCAATCAAGTTTGGTGCGGTTAACTTTGAGTTTGTATCTATTGTGTGCTCTTGTATTATTATGGTTGAAGCTGAAGTATTCATTTGCAGGTAGGACATTGCAATGTATGATTTTTTATACTATACTTATATCAGACCGAAGGCGATGCAGTTCTAGGTTTTCTAGGTCTAGAGTTTCAAGTCTGATGACATAAGGTATTCTGCAATGATTAGAGGAGTGGAGAACTCTTCTTGTGAAATATTTCTGGACATTCTCAACTGTGTTAATATCAGATACGTAATGTGGGTTCCAGACTGATGAGCTGTATTCAAGTATTGGTCTCGCAAATGTTTTGTATGCTCTAGTTAGTAGTGAGATATTACCAGAGAAAAAGCTACGTAGGATTAGGTTAACAACTCTTAATGCCTTTTTGGCTATGTAGTTACAATGACCATGGAGATGTCTTCAGACAGCACTGGCTCTTTGGCTTTGAAGCGGACATGAGCACCACCCCCTAGAGTCAGGAACGACTAGCACATATGTATGAGGGGAACCTTTACCTTTAAATTTTGTACTATGAAAAGCACAGTAACTGAAGGGAAAAAAGCTAAAGATGTACTGTAAAGACACATTAACATGGTGGTTAGGAGGACACGAGGAAGAACTCAAGAAAGATAGAAAAAGATGAGTTTTCAAACCCTCCATCTGTTTTGTATTGGAACTTTAATTCTTCCTTGCAGAGCTCTGCTGCCTATAAATTCTTCTAAATTTGTTTCTTTCAGTTCTTAAAATCATCTTGATTTTCTCTCTCTGAGGTTGTAGTTATATCATAATTATGCAGATATCTTTTATTTTCTGCCAAAGAAGGATATTTTTCCAAACTACTAAAAAAGTACATGGGGCAGGATGGGAGAATAAGATTATCTTGCTATGTTTGAGCAGATTTGCTGCCTCAGATCATAGTTGGTTGCAGTACAGTTTGTTCATTTAAATTACATGTATTGCCCATATTTCATTATACTATTTATCACCTCTTTTTGTTTTACAGACACCTGCAAAAATATTATTGATCCAAAATATGCAGATTACTATTATCCCCACATAATTGAAGGTACTGTGCGCTGTGTCTCAAGATGTTTCAAAGACACTCAAGATTCCATGAACTGCTTCAATGGTGTTTGCCATCTCTCTGAAATTGGCCCCCACTGCATGTAAGTAAACAGATGGAGGAGGAGTATCAAAGGAGTCCTTTAGAGCCAGGTTCATTACATTTAAGGTGTAAAACTTAAATCTTGAACAGTTATTAGATCTAACAGAGATGTTCTCCCATCTCACTACATTTTTCTTCCTGCAGAATCCCACATTTTCCTAAATTCTATATACAAACCTGTTATTGAAACCTATTGATATTCATTTATTCTATTTTAATATTTCTGTTTTATTATTTTAATGCAAGGTTTTAATGAATTTTTGCTATTTGAAGTTACTTAGAATCTTCATTTCTCTTTCCCATAGTTGCAATAATTTGGACGTGTTCTGGTATTTGGGAAGTTACTGCCAATTACCCATCCAAAAGAGTGTGCTGGGCCTTAGTCTTGCCCTGGCTGTGTTCTTTGTGATAAGTATCATCCTTGTTATTTGCCTCATCAAAGCAAAGCGGAAAAAAACCAGGTAATATTTGAGAGGCTTAAGAAGTCCAATGGTACCATAGCAAGGGAGAACATACCTCTAATCCATATAATTGATGCTTGGATCATCTGATTGGGAAGAATGTCCTAGTGAGAAGATCCAGGAATTCTGAGATGTTTAAGACAGGAAATTGTTATTGCTAGTTATCTAAGGGTTAAGTGGCTACCGTTTTTAGAGAGGCAAAGAGTTGCTCACCTGCAGTGTAGCACGCAAGAGTGGAGAAAGTTACCTGTGTCATGGGAGGGCTGTTTCTATCTTAGGTATTATTTACAACTATCTTCTGTTGTTCTTGCAGCGGGTCTGATGATGCTGACTTTGATAAAATAGCCCAAAGGAATCTCATATTTCAGAATAGAGGCTAGTGGAACTGCACTTGCAGATAACCAATGAGGGCAAGCTGATGCGAAGTATGCGGAACGATGGTTAAAAATGGTTAACAAGACTTTCTATTTGAGAACAAAGAGGTTGGTGATAAATGGTTTAATACATGCTGGACTTCACATCAAGTGTAAGGAATCTGCAAATAGCAACGGAAGTGTTTGATTCAAGACGTACAAAAATTGTAAAGCATGGTGAAATTCCTGCTTGTTCTACTTTGTCTGAATATTTCCTGCCACATAGCCATCTTCTCCATGCTGAGGCTCAGCCAACTTTTCAGTGGGGGATATGCATGAGGTACCAACGTGAGCTTTGCTGATTTGCTTGGAATCAATAAAGGTGATGATTGCTGAAGTTTGTGTTTGTATTTTTTTTTTCATTGTTAAAGATCTGATTCTCTCCTTGAAAGCAACTACTTCTTAATGCCTGCTCAGGAAAAGTTTTAACCCATTAACTGAGGTTGCAAGAGTTTCTAGTTCAATGGCAAGTTTCAGTGTAATAGTGACAGCCCTTTCTGAGGCAAATTATTAGTGATTAAGTCAATTGTACTGTTGGAACCTGCTGATTTTCTAAATATATTTCAGTCTGAGTTCTGGTCTGGTAATGAAAGCAAAGAATTTGCTTGATGGATGAGCTTTACTCGAGATGGACAGAAGAATGTGGCGTATGATGTTGGCTGGATATTTCAATGTTTTTGATATCACTGATGATCCTTTGGACTGCAACCATGGATTGAGCACTGGGGACACTGCGATGCAGAGGTTCCACTCCTATCTAGGAGAAACATCCCCAAGAGCAGTTTTGGCAGACTGCAGGTTGACCTTCTTCTTACCTCAAGGTAACACCTTGGAAATCCATGGAAGACGGGGACAAAATGCCAAATGACAAGTGTGGTAGCTAAACCCTGCCCCTTTGTTTTCGTGTGAGATGACAACATACATACAAAAGGTGGTGTTCAACTGTGTTCCAGTCCCAATTGTGGTTTGGAAAGGAAAATTTAATGCACAGATATAGAATAGGTAGTAACTAGTTAACAGCAATAACTGTGAGAAGGATCTAGGAGTCCTAATGGAGAATAAGTTAAGTGTGACTTAATGGTGTGTTGTAGCTGCGAAAAATGCCTATGTAGTCCTAGGCTACATTATCAGAAGGATTGTATCAAGATTACATGAAGTGTTAGTACATCTTTATATTGCTCTAGTAAGGCCACACTTGGAATTCTGCAAGATTTAGGTCATCATGATAGAAAAAAGAGGTTGAGACTCTTTAATTTTTTTTCTTTTTTCTTCTAAATATTAGCTTTTGTTAGTTTTTTTCTGCATTAAAATTTCTAATAATAATTTCTATTATTTATTTAAAAAGTTTTAAAGACATGGAGAGCGAAAAATTGTCTAATGCTATCTCAGTCTTGTTGTATCTCAGGATCAGTTTTTCTAATCCAAGGAGATCATTTTTCTGTTCTCAGCTGTGTGACTATCTGATAAGATATTGTGCATAGCAAATTCACACAATACTTTGGTCAACTAGAAGTAAGATTTATTAGAAAGTTGTTGACAAAGAGCTGGTGAACTTCAACAGAACAACAACAGAAGTCCACATTAAGTTACAATCTCAGTATATTTTATACATCCCTTTCACTGGCTGCAGGTCCTTCCTAGCCTTCTTGGTATTCTCTTATCTTGTTTTTTTGTGAAACTCAGTATCTGGTACATATCTCAGACTAGAAGCTGTGTATGTCATTCTTCAAAAGGGATCACATACTGGGCAAACATGGCTGTGCTCTTGATATGCAATAGTGTGGTGATCAGAGTGGGATGCAAATTTTTAAACTACCAGTTCTGTGGGCGTGGCTAGGTGGATATGGCTAGGTGGTCATGTGACTGGGTGGGCGTGGTTTGGGTTTTTTTTTTTTGCCGATTGGGCCTCAGGGAAGCCTCCTGGGAGCAAAAACAGGGCAGGGGGGCACAGACCCTCCCTACATCCTGTATTTTGCCTCCTAGGCCTCACAGAAGCCTCCTGGGTGAAGCAGTACAACAGTGGGGGGGGGGATCAGCTGTGCCACACGATTTAGATTAGCTAGAAAGCAAGAAAACTGACGATTTTCTGCTTTCTAGCTAATCTAAATCATGCAGCACAGCTGATATTAAGAAAACAGCTGATCGGTGGTGGTGGTGGGGAGAAATATCTTGATCTTCTTCTCCCAGCTGATCTTTGGAGCTACCGGTTCACCCAAACCAGGCCGAACCGGTAGAATCCCACTCCTGGTGGTGATACTTTAAAATACTAACTCTAAGCAAGTGAACAAAAAATATAATATACAACCTATACGCTAGTCTACTAAATTACAACCTATTTTATTGTATCCTATATTTACTTATTACCTAGGTCAAATTTTATTAACTCTGTCTTTATTCTGATGATAATAACTTTAAAACATCCTCTAATAGGCCTCTCTTGCTTCTCGTTAATGGCACCCTGCACAGGCTACAAGACAGGAGGAAGAGCTGCTACCAAAGGCAATGGTTAAATAAGCAGGGATTGAGTCTGTTCCAAGAAACTAGAGAAAACATCTCAGAAAACTAGAGAAATTTCCCTATTCACACAGAAATAAAGGGAAGGAAGAAGGAAGTACATTTGCAAGATTCTGTTAATATAGTTGCTGCCATAAAGTTAATACTGATTTATATGACCTTGCTGTTTTTTAATCTTGCTTCCTCAAAGGGGTGACACAACTTGGGCAATCTTTCATTGGCTCTAAGTCTTTCTTTTACATTTTGTCACATGCTCGGTTACAGACAGTTCTCTTAATTATTAGTGTGTCTTTTTCTTGATCTTATTTTTCCTTTACTTTCCACACCGTGTAGTGCATAACAGGGGACCTATGACAGCAGAGATTTAGAACAAACAGGATTAGATTGACTACCGATCATGATTTCCAACTGCCCTTCTGAATTTTCTATTGTAATTAAAAACCACATGTAGTACCTCCAAGGCAGTCTTCCTGACACAGAAACTTTCAGATAAATTGTTCCGGAATTTCCAGCCTGACTATTATTACCATAATTAGTAATCAATTAACTATTTTAGTCAACATAGCAATTCTTATAATGTGCATTAAGAATAATCCAATGTTCAAAGGAAATGTTATGGCCTGACTGTATTTCTTCTCCTATTGAATATGTAGGTATTGTGAGTTTCAAAATTGTTCTTCAGAGAGAGCAAAGAGGCAAAAAGCAATAACTGTGTTTCACATTAACAAAGCAGATCTATCTAAAAATAACTGCAGCATATCAGAAATGATGCCTCATAATGTCTTCTCTAGGTACACCCTATTTACCAGCAACCTCACCTTGTTTATCAGCTAATGATTGTTATTATGTTTTATGACGCAACTTGATATGCAAAGCAAAGCTAAATATAGTACTGTATCTGAGGTGTCGAAATTAGGGTTCAGAGTATACAGTTTTTATTGCTGTTTCTGAAGATAAGCAAGGCAATCTTTCTGAATTTTCATACAAGGTTCTCATCTATACATGACATGACATGAGTCAGTCTTCAGGGTACAAATGGTTGGCTAATTTTCCAATCCAATTTTTTTTTAATTAAAATTTTATTGGTTTTTTAAAACAAACATAAACAAACAAAACATAAAACATCAAGCTGTCTTCCATAGGTGTACATACAGTGTGCCGATTGGTTTACAAATTGTTTTGTGCTTCCATTTCATAGTCTTCCATTACAATTACATTATGTATAATCTCATATTGTCAATCAAAAACTAAATACCTTAGTATCATTATTAATCAATCATTTGACTATACTTTTATTCATTCATGTTTTACAAGATAACCATAATTTACTTAATTTATTGTATAACAGTTCATATTATCATCCCAAATCTATCCTAAAATCATTTTGTAGTTATAATAAAAAAAAGTACATCTTTATATATTTATTATTTTCTAGAAATCTACATATTTCATTACTGTACTTTGTTATCTAACCATTGATAAAAAAGATCCCAAATTTTATAAAATTGTTTATCCTCTTGTTCTCTAATTTCAAATGTCAATCTACTCATTTCAGCACATTCCAATATTTTCTTAATTATTTCCTCCTGTGATGGTATCTTCTCATTTTTCCAGTTTTTAGCAAATACAATCCTAGCCGCTGTTAATACATTTACAATCAGGTATTTCAAGTCTTTGCTATATATTTCAGGTAAAATTCCCAATAAAAATATCTCTGGTTTCAAGTCTATATGTTTTTTCGTCATTTTCTCCAACCACATGTGGATTTTAGTCCAGTATTTTTTGGCATCCGCACAAGTCCACCACATATGGTAATATGAGCCAGGTGTCTGATGACATTTCCAACATTTTTTGGATTTATTCTTAAACATTCTTGCTATTCTTGTCGGGGGGAAATGTCACCTGTAAAACATCTTATACAAATTTTCTTTATATGCTGTTGACATTGTCATTTTATAATTTTGAGACCACAATTTTTGCCATTTCTCTAAATCAATCCCATATCCAAAATTCTTCCCCCAAGCAATCATAGTTTCTTTAACTTGTTCTTCTTCTAGTTTAATTTCTAATAAATATCCATACAATTTTTTAATCACCTTTTCATCAGTACCTGTCAAAATCTTATCTAAGTCAGTCAATTTATCATAGAAACCTTCTGTTTTAGAATCTTTATCATACCTTGAATGTATTTGTGCATATGAAAACCAATTCATCTTCATACCTTGTTCCTCTAGTTTTTGCATAGATTTAAGTTCACCCCTTTCATTCAGTATTTCACCATATCTAACTGTTTGTTCCTTTTTGTATATTATAGGATATGAAAATGCTTCAATAGTCGATAACCAGACTGGAATTTTCAAATAACATTGTCTTTTAATCTTCTCCCAGTTTAACCACAGAGACTCCCGTATATGATGTCTTCTAAAATACCCCTGTGTTTTAGTTCCTTTGTACCATAAAAAAGCATGCCACCCCAACAACAGATCATGTCCTTCTAATGTCAACAATCTAGCATTTCTTAGTGTTATCCATTCCTTAACCCACATCAGATAATCCATTTTTTTTTAACCCATAGCAAAGGCATGCATGATCCAGAATATTTATTTTATTTATGAGATTTAGAGGCAGCCCAACTCTAAAACAACTCTGTGGAGGTTATACAAACATATCCCTTTTTACAGAAAATGCAAACAACAAACTCAGTACCTAAAGTCTGGGAGAACAACCATTTTTTTAAAGGCTCCTGGAAGAGAGTCTTTAGAAAACAAATGACAACTTCAAATCTCAACAAACAAATGCTCTGTCTTACATATTGGCAAAAAATCAGAAAATAAAATACAGGCTGAATAGTCAAGACCTTGTTGATGATCTAAACTCCGTCAAGGATCTTGGAGTACTCATCTCTAATGATCTAA